CCTACAATGTGAATTTCAGACCCCTCCATGATTTCTAAGTGGGAGAACTTGCAAAATCGCAGGGTGTTCAAATACTTCTGTTCCTCACTGTATGTACAAGTGTTTCTTTCACCTGGTGACATACATTGGGTTCAAATTTTTAAATTAAGTATAGTCTGGCAGTTTCAATCTAATGTGTTACATGCCATGCCACTCTTGGGTACCGCTGTGTTGCTGCTACCCTAACTGCAGAGTCAACCACACAACTCCTGAACCCAATTACAGAAATTTCCTCTAGTACTTCAGGCAGGTTTATCACAAAAGCTTGAGAAAGTCTTACTTCACAGCAATAAGCTGACAGACACAAGAACACAAGTGAATCTTGACAGGTATGACTTCTTAACAAGAATTTGCATCCACACACTTCACCAGCATAACCTACAGTGAACAATAATATATTCACTAACACACTAAGCTACACAGTAATGTCTCACCTTGCTGGGATGGATGCCAACGTGGACTGTTGTTCCATTGGCCTTCTCTCTCTGCACACGCTCGATGTAGATGACATACTTCTTCCTGTAGACCTGCACCACTTTGCCAATCTGCTGGCCTTTGTAGTGTCCCCGGACAACCTGTTTGTAAACAATACAAGCAAGTGAATCAAATGAAGCTTGTTTTTTAACCCCCTCTTTGACAAACTTTGATCCATGCCAGTTATAATACCTGGACTTCATCATCTTTGCGGATGGGCATGGACCTCACATTGTACTTTTGGCGGAGCTCCTTGGACAAAGGAGAAGACATGATCTTCCTCCTGATGTGTGAGGGAGCATTGAAGTGCCTCTTGCGGTTTTTACGGCGAGAGGATGTTACAAAAGGATTCAGCTTCATGATGCTACAAAGCAAACAGATTATGTAGGTTACAAACCAGGTGACATCAACTGTACACTCTGGTTAGAGAAGCTGTGGTTACTGCTGAAAACGTGCATCCTGCAAGTACAATAAGCTTTAAAAGAAAATTCAGGCAACTCCACAAATGGATACTAATTTCAAACCGTCACTATCAACTTATGTTGAAGTACTTTACACAGTACATTTCAGCTCTCCCCTTATCACCTCCCCTGAAACACAAGATTTTGTTCACTCAACATCATAAATACTTATACCTTCATTTACAAAAACGTTATTAAAAGCTTGCTGGCTTCTATGTGGTAACTGTTAGGGATCCAAAACGTAATGCTAAGCTAGCAAAATGACGGTGTTTTCATAACGCAGCAGACCGAATAAAGCTTAATATTCCTACTGCTACGTTGGCGCAGTAATGCTACCCACTGCACTAAAGACTAAGGAGAAAATCTTACACGTTAAGGAGGCCGAATATTAGTCGCTAGCACCTGAAATGAAGAACCATCAGTATCCGCAGCAGACATGCGGATACTGCCGATCGGAACAGGGCCGACTAACACTGAGAGGGTTTTATTTAGTAATCTGTCATCAACTGAGATTAAATATCATCCGTCCTTTAATTGTGACGACGTTGATGAGATGTTTGCACATTTGTATAGCTACTCGGTGTCATTTAATGGATGGATGGATAATGATAACTTGAAAACTTGTCCCATGAACTCTTACCCTGCCGTTTATTCCTCTATGGCCGGCGGAAAAGAGACTCGCAATGTACTTCCGTTGGCATTAGTTCACACTCAGGTCTCGCGAGATGTCCACGGAAATTGTAAAAACATAAACATTTAGCCTATCACACTAAACATAAAGCATGAACACTTATATTTAGTCGTATTAGGTTAATACTTTTAACCACGCTATACGTAGCTAGTTTTAATAGTTGAATTCGAGTTTGTGGCGTTTTTAAAATAGTTTTTAATTTATTTAGATTTTAATGGGTTTCATGTCTTAACAAATATACATTTTACAAGTCTCCTTTTCTAAACATTTTCACTGGGTTAAGTACTGGTTTTATTTTTGCAACTTTATAATTCCAGTTGGCTGTCCATATGAAACAACGCCACAAGATGGCGCCAAACCCAATACCTGGTCAGTAGTTGGAAACAAGTTCTGCTTATGATTCATCAAGTTTTATCCTATGCTCGTTGACGCTGAATGTTGTTATAATTTTAATTTACCCTAGAGTGAAGGTCTTAGCACAAATCTTAGGTTTATTATAACATTTAGAGCCTATCCATTTTAGACAGGTTATTATATTCAGTATTCAGCTAGTATCAATGTAATGTGACAGTAGTTGTGCCTGGATTTCACTCCAGTCCACTGAAATTACTCCTTGTACTCCATTAAGGTGTCAAGCACAACGCAAGGTGTTTACATGGCAGATCACACATAGTCTATCATCGGGGGACAGAAAGCGACCCTGTCTCTTTCTCTCACTCAAACACCTTCAGACACTACGCAGCCTACACGGAGTAAACTACCAACACGGAAGCGGAGGCGCGCTGACACCGTGCGCTGTTTGTTCCCCGGGCGGCGCGCAGTTTCAGGGAGTCTGCCGCCTGCCTGCCTGCGCTGTCTGCCTGCGAAAAGTGGTGCTGTCATAGCCCCCTGCGCCACGGACAGAGAGCCTCCTTCCTTCCCGCACCCCCACCCCACCCCCTGGTCCCTCTGTGGCAGGCTGTCGCGGCGGCAGTGCGGATGTGGAGCCCGCAACGCAAACGCTCTTCAGCTGTCGGAAAGCATCAGAGAAGATGAAATGTTTTTCCCGTTATCTCCCGTACCTCTTTCGCCCTCCGAGCACCATCCTGTCCTCCACTTGCCACACCGAAGGTAGGGTGGGAGGCTAAGGGGGTTGTCAAGGGACTGCGAGTTGCTTACTTTAAGCATGTGACATGAATGTTTAGACTGCAATTCTGTGCCTCTAGACTACATGTGTGCAGAAGTTAGATTGGCCAGTTGTAGGGCTGCATAGCCCGCTGCAGAATCGACACAATGCGTTAAGTTGTTGTAGCCACTGGAAATCAAGATATGAGGCAGATGTAGGCTGCTGCAAATGAGTAAGAATTTGCTATGTGCGTGATTATGTCAGGTTTAAAGAAGAGCACTCATAGTGTTTCTCAGTTTGCTTCCCTTAAAGCTGTCAACACACAGGCCAACAGCATGCCAAAAGAGAGACACTCAGTTTGTGGAGTTGCATGACAAGTATCTTATTACTCTGTCACCCATGCACACTTTGCTTATATCCCTAAGACAGCACACATGCCATATGACCTTCAATTCACTCAATTCACAAGAGTGGAATTTCCTCAAAATGCCAAATCCTTTTCCATCTAATACACCTGGTCCATAGTTATTGCCCTGGAGCTGGGCAAAGTTGACTGAATTGACCCTGACCATGACAGCAATAAGAGTTCATAAGAGGTGGTCAATTTATCCTGCTGATTGTGCTGTCACACAAGGCAACCCAGGAGGGTCTGAGTGTTTGCATAACTAGCCATTTACTAGGCCATAATGTGGCGACTGGGCCTCTGCATTATTTAGCTTTACATGGTTGCCCTCCTTCCTGTGTGCACACTGCCTTCAGCCCTCTGGCACAGGGAGGAAGACAGTGTCATATAGGGTACAGTAACACTATGTGATGGTCATCGCTGTGGCTCTTCACAGGCTGTAGAACTGACCTGGATATATTCAGTACGGAAAGGAAAGACATGAAAGGCATTTATGGGTTCACTCACTCGCTCACTCACTCACAACTTAAACATCAAAATATATAGAAAAAAACAAAAATACTATAAGAAGAATGACTCGTGAAAATTTCAAGTGCACAATTTAAAGTAAAAGTAACTGACAACAGAGCAAACTTCATCCACTGAAAAAGCTAACACTGGGAAAAGCTAACAGGTGGATTCAAAAATTAACTACTGACGCATTATCTTGTACATTTGGACATCACTTTCTTTTTTTTTATTTTAGCAGTTGCATATACACTGTGTAAATGTGACTTTTGATGTGATAATTAAAATCACGAGCAGCCGGGTGAATGCTTCTCTTTCTGAATCATCTAAATCATAAACATAACAACTGAGTGTACACACCAAGATGTTAACATGCGAGGTCGACAGCTCAATCTCTCTGTCCTTCCTCACACCCACTCAAACTCTCTTAACTCTCTCTGCCTCTCAATCCCTCGGCCTGAGATCAGGGAGTGGTATAATAGAGGAAGTGATAGATTAGTAAACATGGAGCTGCAGTGCTCAGCCACAGTAATATGATACATGATCCTGAGCTGTTCTCTGTGTGGAGAAATATGAAACAGTTCAGTACTCAGAAAGAAAGTGAGAAATGCTGAATCTTATGTGCTGATGACACAGCAGGTGACCTTCAATATGCCATGTGTAAAAATGACAGACGCATCCTCAGTTGTGTGCATTCTACTGAAAAACAAAGTAGCAGAGTTTGTGCACAAATCAGAGCATGCATGTGTTTATGTTGTGTGGAAATGGGTGTGTCAGTGTTTGTTTACACATGTGTTTGCTTTTTCTGTCGTGACCTTGTTTCTGTGGTTTACAGAAACCCCCCCCCAACATCTCCCAGCATTCATGTCCACTCCACTTGAATAGATTTCACCCCAGGGAAGATGGGTGTGCAGTTACTATGTTAGTGGAAAATACATTATAAAATCCCTGTACTGGACCATAGTGTGTATGTGTGTGTGTTCTCTGTGTTTATCTGGGCCACTGTGGAGAGCAGTGGGTCCAGTCTTGGCCGGGAAACAAACGATTTTTGACTTACTGTGTCTTTTAAACATGTATTTGAGCCCCTGTGTAAGTTTGCACGAGTCTCAGTTGGGCTTTTATATATTTTATGTGCAGTGCCTTTTTTTGTCTTTTGTCCCCTGGTGCTCTCTTTTCTCCCATTTCACACGAGTCTGTCAGTTCTGGCGTGACTGATTAAGTCTTAAAGGTTTGTGAAAAATGTGTGTCCCCAAATGACACCTCGCTACATCTCCCGCTGCCATCAATCAACAGAGCCGGTCCTTCCTGAGCTTCCTCGTCTTCCTCCTTCTTGTTCCTGAAGTGTCTGAAGGTGCTATATTATTTGTTTGTGTTTGATAGAAAAAAGCAGAATAGACTAGTGACAAGAAAGTCTTTGTAATTACAGTTGTGTGTGTGTACTGGGTGTTTATTTATGAGAGCAGTGAGCTTCTCATGGCTGAGGGGGATCTTTGTTGGCATCTTGACAGAGTGTGACACTGACTTGGAGTTTTGTGGGTGAGGAACATGGCGTATACTGATGGGAATGTGCTGTTATCATACATCCCGCAGTGTTGCTGTTATCCTCACAGACACCCACTTCACAGCTCAGAACATAACTGCTTGCAGTTGTCCCGTCCTTGCATGTCACTGGGGACGAACACCCTACATACTGAACACTCACATAAGGCACCCACACACTCGTGACTGTTCGGTTTCAGTTTGGTCAGCTCTTCTGGGTACAGGGCAGGAAGATGGGGGAATAAATGGTTGCTAAAACAGATACCACAGAGAAAGACTGACATGAGTTTGTTGTCTCTGTGCCCAAGCTGAGATAACCTGATTACATCACCATGACATCATTCAGGTTAATTTCTCAGACTTTAGAAAGTTCCTCCAGAGCCACAGAACACGCTATACAACAGTTTTCACAGACTGACTAGTGCTCGCTGTGATGAGTAAATTAAACCTGATGCATAAAATCAGTGAAAAGTACACATGCACAAGCTCCTGTGTCAGCTAACAACTGCCCCAGAGCCAGACACTTTCATGCCTACTTGCTTTGGGACGTCTTCTGCAGCAGACTTTGTTGTAGTGTTGTAAGAAAAGAAAATTTCCCTTCGCAGAGGCAATAAGAATGACAAAATAAGAGTTTTGTTTGCTCTTGGAAAAGACTGACAGAAGCAGTGTTATTTTGCCATTTATTTATAAGTGGCATTTCTTTTCTGTAAAGTCTATTTCTGTTTTCCGAGGAGAAACTGGGTCATAATAAGACAAACTGTCAAAGAGTTGAGGATAAAGTGGTTGTGCTGCATTGCGGTAGCATTCACATGACTTCAGCCATATTGTTCTTTAATGTAGTGAAGTTTAAAACTGCCCCAATCAAAAAGTTCATATTAACAAAGGATCCGATCATTGTGCGTAATATGAAAGATGGTAAACCTTCAAAGAAGTAACACAACCCTGCAGTTGCCTTCAGCTCTGTGGAGCATTTTAGCATCTTTCAACTCATCAATTTGGTTATACAGTATGACATGCAACTTTTTTGTTTTGGTTCACTCTCACCCTCACTGCTCTCAGTTCCAGCTGCAGTGAACAAACTCTGATAAACTCTATGTTTGCAATCAGCCCATCCCTGGAATCTTGCACAAGTTTGTGAATCCACACCTGCCATGCACCCATTCTATACCGCAATGAACCAACCTGTTACTTAAAATTGCAGTTTCAATTGCAAAACAGATGATTTAT